GGCCACGCCACTTTGGCTGAGCTGGACATCAGTGGGAACAACATTGGAGACACTGGAGCCAAAATGCTGGCCAAAGCCCTGATGACCAACACCAAACTCAGGTACAGACCCAAACACAACTCCTTAGCTGACGTCACTCTGCCTCTGACCTGCCCTGATCTTTAGGAAATGAAGCAAACATCAGCCGCTCTAGTATTTTATATCCTCCAGGATTACATGAAACTCATAGAGGAGTGACGTCCCTCCTTGTGGACACGTATCTGTTAGTGGGTGTTTCATTTGACACCAAGCATCTTCTCCTGTATGGATTTAGCCTAGTCATTAATGGCTGCATGATGAGTATGATAAGAACTGGAATTAATTTCTGTTTAAAAGATAACCCTCATTTTAACTTGATCTATAAAGCAAAGAAACTCATAAGTATCATGATTAGAATTAATGGAAACCTAAAAGTTAAACCTTCTGTTTTCCTGTTGAACCTAACTTGTTTATTTGTTGGTTTATTTAAGGTTTAACATGAAGTTGCAAATATGACCTAATTTGTTTATGAAATTACCAGCTCTTTGTTTCACTCTAACATAAATCAGCCAAATGGAAAACGACAATCGTCAAAGTGTGTGAGTCGTTCTGCATTTCCTGCTGAGTCGCAGCAGAACCCACCGCAGATCCTTCGAAACTCCAGAATCTTCTGGTTGTTCTGATCCAACCTCTGGCTTTGTCTGCTTCTCTAGGTCGTTGACATGGGACAGAAACAATGTGACTGCCAGAGGTTTTCAGGATGTGGCCGATGCCTTAGAGAGGTGCTGCTCTTACACATCCATATGTTTCTCTATCTTTGCAGGGCCTTTTCATTCACTTCCATTCATTTCTACAGCCTAACCATGACCCCAGACCCTAAAACAGCAATTCCCCTCTTGAGGTCCAGACACTAAGATCCATTAGGAGCAGTTGGTTGCCCATTTTTGAGAAAATGGGCCCTCCAATGTATTAAAAACAAGAACACACACTATGAGACATTTTGATTAGTATTAGGTGAGATGAGATGAAATGAGATGAGGTGAGATGAGAACTGCCATTAAAGTCTAACATTTAGTCTTTCAGAATCAGAGAAAGCTTTATTGCCGCGTTGCTTTGATGGCAAGGTGGTGCACACAAATAAACACCAGTTATTTTTTATTGCTGTCGCAAAAACAAACTTATTATAACTGTTGTTGCACAGCACTAAACAATACAAAACAAGTCAAAAGTGAAAGTTGAACTATGCAGTAGGGGAACAAAAAGAAACGCAAACATTTAAAAAGGAAACTTTTAGCCAGTTAACAAAACATTATGAAAACAACAGGGATTAGCTCTGCAGCTAACTGCTAGGAGGAGGAGGAGCCTGTTCTACAGCCATCATGTTTATTCTACAGCGGCATCTCATTGCTGCTGTTTACTTCTTGGCTCTGGCAGTGGGATGGAAAAGACAAAGTAGATACATATTGAAGAGGAATTGGAGCTTTTCAAACAATGTGATCACTAAATGGAGGAACCTTTCTCTTTAGTCAGCAGAGTGCAATATGACCTAATGGGCCAGCTAAAGCTATAAGAAGGAGAACGAATGATAATTCCTCAGCTGATAATTTAACATAATGATTACACTTCAGCTGAATGTTTCAATTATTTGTAGAAGTGCTAAATCTGGTTTTCTGCTAAAATAACCATTAGATGTTAAACAGAAACATGATCATAGTTTAGCAACTTTAAACCAGATTGATGGTTGGTTGGTTGATTGAGTCTCAGGTCCCTCCATCTCTTTCTCTTGTGTCGTATTAAAATAAATTAGGACCGAAGGAACAAATATAATAATTTTGAAAAGAAATACAATTTTAAAATCATAACTCTTTTAAACTTTGAAAGCCTTGTTTTCTGTTTTACTGGCCGTTGACCATTTCTAGTTATAAAAGCTCTAGTCTTATTGATGAAATTGGATGGTTGAATTTATTCATCCTCATATATTAACTGTCATCATAACTTACCTACTCTATGGAAAATGATAATGTTCTTGCAGGGGTATAAGGCAGCTTCTAGAATATATTTCTAAAGAGATTTTTCTGGTTTTGTAGGAACTTTACGCTACAGGAGATGTCTCTGCCCTTGGCTGATATCTCCCAGAGTTACCGCAGCAGCCCAGACAGAATCAAAGACGCTCTGCACAAGGTGATTCAAACATTTCAGTGGGTGTGAGAGTGAATATAAGACATGATTGTAAGAAAAAGAAAATATCAGATTTACTCTGATTTCCCTTATGGTTTTATGGAAGTGAATGAGAACATCCTGGTTCTCCTATGGATAACCTACATTAACATCTCTGCATCTAGATCCAGCTGTGTTTAGACAGGAACAAGATGAAACATCCTGGAAGTGTGGAGCTTAAGCAACTCTTCAGGAGTCAACCGTCTGAAAAGGTATAAAATATTATCATTTCAGCTGATTTTACTCTAGAACTAGAAAACCGTTTCTTCATCCCCATCTCTGCATTTAACCCCACACTGCTCCCCGGGTGCCGCACTATGGCAACCCACTGCTCCCCAAGGGGATGGGTTGAATGCAGAGTTAAATTTCTCCAATGTGAAATCAATAAAGTTCAATTATTCATCAACTACAGGAATAAAATTCTGTAGAATCTCTAAGATTTAAGTCGGAGATGCTGTTAAACTTGCTCTGCTTCAATAGGCTTGCAATGATTTAAATGACAAAAGTATTTTCCTACATCTTCTTTTTTATGGCAACATATAAAAGAGGATCACAGGAATCAGTAGAAGTGATTAAACCTGCTCACCCCAGCTAGCAGGTCTCTGTAGCTCGGTGGGGTTCTGACTGAAGATGGCCCAGCATCATTAAGTCTCCTACAGAACAACAGCAGAACTTCTGTTCTTTCAGGGATCCGGGCAGAAGCAGGAAGCAGTCATGCATTGAAACAGATGTTTTGTCATCAGCCTAAACATGATTAGGCTCTACAGTCTGAGCTACAGGTAGCATATTTGGCTCTAGATTGAATCCTTGAAGAAAACACCATGTTCTTCCTCGAATCACAGGCTTAGTTTAAAGAAATAAAAATGGAAAAGCTGTTTATTGCCTAGATATGGCCTTTAATTATTCATTTAAACAGAAAAAAACTTCAATTGTTTGTAGCTCCATTCTCTAATTATTTCTCTTTAGAGACACAACCTGTCTATAATTATTTAACTCTTGATGCTGGTGAAGATTCTCAGTCATCCAGGTCAGAGTCATTCCAAAAAGGTTATAAACAATCTACTGGACTTTGTTTCCAAGTTTGAAGACGTTTCTCTTCCATCCAGAAAGATTTTTCAATTTAAAATGTCAGAAATAGCGTCAAGTAACCCTTGACGTGACTCAGCTGATACAGTTTTTTCAGTTTAGTTTTGCTGTTTTTTTATTTTCTGCCTGTTGTCCTGGATTTTAGCTGATCCAGGGTATGTGCCGCCAGCTGGAAGACAGTCTGCAGCGTATAAGCCTCTGCAACGCTCAGCTAGTCCAGAACGACATTATGACTGCACACGAGGTGCTTCAAAATGCCAGAGAGTCTCTGAAGGTAAACATCCCAGCTTCTTTTATAGGAGATCAGGTTGTTTCCTGTTAAAGATGCTTTATCCTAACCTGCACATGTTAATCAGACCATTAAACAGCTCTAGAACCTGCTAGATTAAAAGGCATTTACCATAACTGCTGGAAACCTTTGTGCACATAATTGGTTCTGCTTGCTTGTTTCTGGCTTTTCACCTGCAGCTGCTTCCGTCTCTCTGTGAAGAGAGCAGAAAGTCTGTTTCTGATGGAGACTGGGTGATGGATATCCTGTCTGATACGACTTCGGCCCTAACTCAGGAAATCACCAAAAACTTGCAGGTACACAAATGTAAAAATCCTCTTCAATATCAAACATTTAGTATTTTTATATGCAGGGATGTGCTCAGATAGACACTAGGTGGTGCTAGAGCACCTGCCCTTTTAACGGCTAACCTGAAAAGTGCCCTGTCCTTTTTTTGTTCTTCCATTGTAGCTTTAGTACTGAGCCTGCAGACATGCCCAAAGTTGGCCCTCAAGGGCCGCTGTCCTGCAGGTTTTGAAGGTTTCCTGCTTCAGCACAGCTAATTTTCATCGATAGCTGATAAACAGGCCTTTACTGAACTACAATCATCAGAATCAGATGTACTGAGTGAGGGAAACCTAAAACCTGCAGGGCCATCAGCAGCCATCGAGGACCGCCTTCGGGCATGCCTGCAGGGACACTGAAGAGACAAAATAAAACTTTCTCGTGTGCACCAGTTAGTTTCTCACATGATCGCATGAGTATTTCGTAAAATCGTGTTAATTAAAAAGGATTTATATGAACTAACTAGGCTATATTTTCAGTTTGGGCTACCATACAAAGACATTGCTTGCAATTCATCACCATTATGTTGTGTCTGAATGTCTCTTAGAACGTATTCTGAAGTCCAGTGGTTTATTTCTGCACAAATAAAACGCACGGCTTTATTATATTGTGACATTCAGACACATCTGCAAACGGCTGCTCAACTGAAATAGATAGATGTTTACAAAATGTCCGGAAAATGGATTAAAGTAAAAAAAGAAGAGGTCTGTCTGATATTAAAAAAACTTGAGGTGGAACTTAAGAGAACCAGACGTCTTCATCGCTGCATCTACTTTGCAAAACTACAGAAGAGGATTAGGGCCACTGAAAAAAAAAAGTTAACTGATTTTTAAATATTATTTATGTTTCTAAAACAGTCATGGCTAAGGCTTGATGCTTGTTAGCTGTCAGAATTCTGAGATTAAGTTCAGAATTCTGACAGCTAACAAGC